TCAGCAGGAGGGTTGGACTAGATGACCCACAGAGGTCCCTTCCAACCCCTACTATTCTGTGATTCTGTGACCAGGGACTGTCAGGAAAAGTTTATTCTGCACAGAATTGGAAAGGACTTGGTTTGGACTAAGTTGTGCTGGTGGAGAGTGGTCAGGTATGTCTCTTGCATCCTTCTCACCGTTGTATTCCCTCCATGACACAGGAAGATGAAGATCCGAACAAAGGCGATCAAAGTCGGTCCATTGATCCAGGTGAAGACAACGTCACGGAGCAAACCAACCACATCATTATTCCGAGCTACGCATCTTGGTTTGACTACAACTGGTAAGAAAGTGATTGGGAACTGGGGGAAGACTAGAGTTTTGGTGGTTTTCTCTTAAATCAAGCTGAGACCTGGCAGAATTTAGCTTTGTTTAGGTATAGTGCCTGTGTATGGGTACATCTTTTCCATCGAAAAATCTTTCTCAGTAGTTTCCAGGTGTTGGGAATGAGGAAGAGAATTTCAGACAGCATGGATCCTCAGTCCACCTTTGCAGCATTTTTTGCTTGACATTGATTTTTTTTTATATATATATATTTTTTCCCTCATGGGAAAAAGTATTCCAGTTTTTTCCTTACTTTCCTGGTCCTGGCATGATCTTTCTGTGTTGGTGTCTACTTCTGAACACCGGTGGCTTTTTGTTTTGCCTCTGATCCTGACTTTGAGGAGAAGTCAGTCATTATGCAAGGAGGATACTGGTTTCATTTTGGAATCCTCCTTGGTGTCAGGGGTTTGTAGTGTGCTATGACCATGTCACTCACTGTAGTAACCCTGAGGTTCTCTGTGTACTCAGACTTTCGTGGTGTGGGAAGAGAAGCAAGTGATCATTTGGGAATGAAAATCCCTCTAGAAGTTAAACTCTTAATGTAGTACTCTTTTTTTTTTCTTTTTAAATTAAAACTGCTTTGGAAACAGAAAAAGGAATAGTCAGTTGGCTGAAAGGCTGCCATTTGAGCCTGTGTTTTGTCTTAGCTGTAGGAGTTGAACCACTGTTCAGGCTGGAATCTAAAAAGCCATGCTATGGCATTTGAGTACTAGGATTCACGTGCAACTTCAAAAAGTGGAGAATTTTTTATAAGTAGTGAATGAAGCTGGGATCTGAGCTGTTAATGTAGGGGTTGGTTCAGTTTCCAGGTCTGGGAAACTTTCTTACCTGTAGTTGGTTGCTTAGCCTGTGTCTGTGCTGATGGCTGGAGTTCACCTAAATCCCCAGAAACAGAACCATCCATTTCCTGTCCCCTTGCTCTCCCGCTTTGAGGTGGTCCGGGAAGCAGAAAAGCCAAGGATCACAGAGTCTGAATCTGTAGGTGCTTCAGTCGCTTTGTGAGCAGGAAGCTCGAGGTGTAGTCCTGTTACACACGCAGAATGAAACGCGCCACGGGTGAAGAGCTGTGGATCCGCTGTAGATCAGGAAAGGCAACTTTGGGTGGCTCGAGCTAATTGAGGGTCACAGAATCACAGAATAGTAGGGGTTGGAAGGGACCTCTGTGGGTCATCTAGTCCAACCCTCCTGCCGAAGCAGGGTCACCCAGAGCAGGCTGCACAGGACCTTGTCCAGGCAGGTCTTGAAGAGAAGGGGCCTCCACAACCTCCCTGGGCAGCCTGTTCCAGTGCTCCGTCACCCTCAGAGGGAAGAAGTTCTTCCTCATGTTCAGATGGAAGTCCCTTTAAACCAAGATAGGTGTGTCTGTAGCTTCTGTGCTTCAATTCCTTGTTTGCAAAGTGAAGGTACATTATTAAATCCCTACTGAGAAAAAGATGGCAATGGGGATGTTTTGTCATGAGCTCGCTCTTACGCTGCTCTGCAAGTGCCTTTTGGGAGTGACTGGTTAAGAAAGGTTGGTTAGAACAATGCAGAACCACAGCATGGCAGGGGTTGGAAGGGCCCTCTGTGGGTCC